CGCCGCCATGTTGGGTCTGAGGCGGCTGCTGTAGGCGCCGACGGAGCGAGCGGGCGTGCGGAGCGGCGACCGCGGTGTGGGATCTGCCTCTCTGCTAGCGGCCAGGAGCGGCGGCGGCGCCATGAGCGGGGGCACCCCTTACATCGGCAGCAAGATCAGCCTTATCTCCAAGGCAGAGATCCGCTACGAAGGCATCCTCTACACCATCGACACCGAGAACTCCACCGTAGCCCTCGCCAAAGGTACTCCGGGGTGGGGCGCCGGGACGGGCGTCCGCTTGCGGTTGTGCCCGGCTCTACGCCCGCGGCCTCGTCGCTCCCTTCCCGTCTCCTCTGCTGTCTTCCGGGAGGCCGCTCCCTACCCTCCCTCCGTGCCCCGGCGTCGCGGGCCGCGGCCTCCCCGGCTTCCACCGCCGAGGTCCGCGCCTTCCATCCGGGAACTGCAGGACCGCGAGCGGGGCGGGCGGGGTGGCCCTGAGGTCCCAGAACGGGCAGGAGAACACGGAGATGCGTGTCTTCCAACTCCGAAATTCGGTGGTTCTGTCGTCTCACCACAAAACAAAGCCTGAGTAGTCAAAGAATTTTTCCGCCTCGCTTAAGTTTCGTGCTGATTTGTTGATTCTACAGCACCATTTTCTCACGCTCTCAGTTTCGGTTTGTGGCGATATTCCTCAGGTGAACTGTAAGTAATGTGCCAAAACTTTGGGCTTGTTGTGCGACGCAGCCGGTCTCGAGCAGATCACATCTCTCGTCTCCTGTGTGGTATTTACCTGTTAAACCGGAATCCTTCTCAGAGCCTGTTTGTGCAACCATCTTTTTTTAAATGCTTGCTGCACTCGCGTCGACCCTGTTTCTGGAAACTGAGTGGAGTCGTGGGTTCAAGTTTGATCCAGGACCTTTGTTCCAAAGGCAGATAGATATGAGTGGTCCGTGGGTGCCTGTGAAGAGTGTTGAGGAGGAAGATGTCTTACCCATAGTGTTTAGCATCGCCACAGTCTCTGTGGGTTTTGTTTCCGTTCCACACGCGCTGGGCCTTCTTTCTCTCATAAGTTTGGAACACTGAGGAGAGGGGAGCAAGATAACTCAAGCGATTTTCCCAGCACATCTGGTAGACTTATGGAATAAATAGCATGGTAGGGTCAGAGGTCCAGGGATAGGAAGAAATTTTCTAAATCTGTAAATACAAATTTAACTGATGGGAAACTCATTTCACAGTATCAAACATGTATTTAATGACATTTTTTGGATGCTCTGCTATATCCTTTTTAATAGCACTCGTGTTGGGACAAATTTTATATCTGGTTAGGGAACTTTACTTTTATCTTGTCTAGTTTCCATTTCTTTTTTTTCCCCCAAATGTATATTTAGCTGTATAGTGTTTTAGTTTTTCTGACTTAAGGAAATTATAAAAAAGGCTCTCTAAAGTTCTTGGTGAGGGCCACATACGGGTTGAAACAGTATTTCTCACTAAAGTGGTTTATAAACTTTTTAAAAACCTCTGTTTTACCTAATCTGAATTTTAAGGTGTCTTATTAGCTTTGTGACTTATCAGCAAGTTTACTGTGGTACTCGTACAAAGAAAAAATTCATGCATTTTTAGATTTCTAATATATTAACTTCAGTCTTTTAAAACGCTCTTAATATGCTCTTCTATGCAAGAACCTAATGTTAATGACCCAGTTTTAAAAAAAACTCAACAGCTTTTAGAGTCGATAAACATTCTATTAGTCTGTAATAGTTAAATTCATGTCACACGTAATTTGTTCCTTGTATCATGATAAATATGCCATATAAGTATAGCAGTGAAAAGATTTTTTTAATCATTAAATTTATATAGCTTTGATATTTAATCCCACATGCATAATATATGCTTTTTCTTAAGCAGTATAAGTTAATGTGAAACAGATTTGGGAATTTAATTGTTTGCAAAAATTGGATTTACCAAATTTTGGCATATTATTCTACTTGGCAGGATCTAATCTAAAACTGCTATATAACTTTCCGGTCAACACTGGGCACTTAGTTCACATTTCAAAAAGAAGTAGGGTGTCTGGTATTGAAATTCTAGAATTTACATGACTTGTTGAATAATTTTATATACGAAATTTCATCTTTTTCAAAATTTGGATGAAAACGGCAGCCTAACATTAAAGCCAAAAGTTTATTCATGGAGTTTAGAATACAGTTTGCATTTGGACTTAGAGATCCCGATTACTCTTTTTGAAATGTAGATTGAGTTAATTTCTTTAACATTCTTAGAATTCTCGTTAGGATATTAATTTTTAACTCCCTCTGAAGTTAATATTTTCCTTTTTTTACTGTGAAATATAACCACATATGTTGAAAAGATACATTGATAAAAATGAAATATTTATAAACAAAACTCCTTGTAATACCACCCAGGCCAAAACAGACCTTGCCAGCATTCCAGAAGCCCCCCACCCTCTGCATCTTCCCATAATGACTACTGCCCTCTTAAACTAGATATAAATGTTATTCTGACATTTATAGTTTTATCACTTAAGTTTACATTCCTAAATAATAGAGTTTAGCTTTGTCCATTTTCGAACTTTATATAAATGGACTCATCGTGTATATATTTCATTTTGGCTTTTGTGTGGCATAGTATTCCATTGTGAATATAACCGGTTTATCTATTCTGCAGTTGTTTTGGATATTCTATAGTTGATGTTTAAGTGTTTACAGTTTTTGACTTTTGTGAACATTGCCTTTATGAACATTTGTGTTTAAGTGCACTGACATTTATGGCATTTTCCTGAGGGTGTATACTTTGAATTGCTAAGTCATGAGGAATGTGTGTATTAGGTAACGCCAAGCAGTTTTCCAAAGTAGTAGTTTACTAGTTTTTGTTTCAATTATTAGTATATAAGAGTTCTAATTGTTCCACATCTCTCACCAACAATATTGAGTATTAGATATTTTAATTCTCGTCAATCTGGTATGTATGTAGCTTTACCTGGTTTTAATCTCCCTGATTACTAATAAGGTGAATACCGTTTCATATCTTGGTTATTTGGATTTCATCTTTCATGAAGTGCCTTTGAAATCTTTTGCGCATTTTTCTATTTGAAATGCATATCTTTCTAAAATTTAGTCTTCTGAATATGAATTCTTTGCTAGATGTTGCAATTACCTTTTCTCCTTTAATGGGTTTTGTTTGTTTGTTTGTTTCGGTGAACAGAGTTTTTCATTTTAATGTAGACATGTTCGTCACTTTTTCTTTATGGCTAATGTTTATTTTCTTTTTAGGAATTTTTCAAAACCCAAAGGTCATGGAGATATTTTGATTGTCTTTTCAAAGCTTTTGTTTTGCCCTTTACATTTAGGTTTGCGATGCACTTAAAATTGATTTGGGATGATATGAGGTATTTAAATCTTTAAATTTAGTAATGGATTCACTTGGTTTATATGGTCCAGGTTATATAATTTAGGTTCTTTACTTGGATATTACTTACAGTTTAAATCCACCTGAAACTATAAAATACTCTTGAAATTTTGGACTAGTTACGTTTGATGTGGCATATAATTAGGGTAGACTATGGCCTGGTTTGTTCTGGTGGAAAGTCCTTGTTTGTGCCTGTGGTTCTGGCATAATTATTAAAACATCTCTTTTCTCTCTTAGAAGTGTTTCTGTTTGGGGAATAAATTGTGTGGTCACACTATATATGATCAAAAGCCCAGTCCCAGAGGTATTGCTAAATGGGTGATGTCTTTTATTTTCTGCTAGAGATTTCACAGATTAGCTCTTAATTCTGTAAAAGTGAAATTGAGGTAAATTTGATGGGCTTTAATACTCAGAGTCTTCTAAATAAGGTCAAGAAGTCTTAAAGGCAACCTAGAAAGACTTTGACGTCAGTCTGTTATGTGAATAGATAATCTTGAGTTGTTTGTTTTTGTCGCAGCTCTGAGTTTATTTTATTCCTAGCACTGATCATGACCTACCTACGTGTAATCTTCTTTGCTTATTTGCATGTGTTTATTGTCTGTGCTCACCCTCCCTCTCCCCATAGAGTCTAAGCTCCTGGGATGAACAAATGTTTATTTAATGAATGAGTAAATGGAAGTTATTTAACATTTTAGTTTATTAGTCTTGTAGAAATCTCTTGGGGGTATCTCTAAATAATGCTTTTCTATATTCAAAATTGTATTTCTCTTTAAAATTCGAACATCTAACATATGTTGCCCCCACAAAAACAGAGATTTTGGAGAATGAGGATACAAGTGGATAAATCTTATGACAAAATTGATATTGTTGGGGAGAAAGTTTTACCTTGTAAAACTCAATTATAATTTTCATTTAAAGTTTAAGGGAAAAATCAGTCCAGTATATTTGCGGGAATGGCAAGATTGTGACATACATGAGTAGTTTGTGGAATATTTCCAATTACATATGTAAATATGACGCCAAAGCACATACTAGATCCTGGATACCAAGAGATTCCCCAGAGTGGAAGTTCTGTGAAGGTACAATTTTTGTCTCATTTGTTGCTGTATCCTCAGTGCTTAGAATAGTGCCTGGCACATAGCAGGCCCTTGGTAAAATTTGAATAAATGAAAGGACACTTGTAGTTATTGAAGCTTTCTAATTATAGGGACTACAAAGTTAGAAGAAACACATTTCCTGTAAACATTTTACACACACACACACACACACACACACACACACACACACATACACACATATATGTAAACACTATTTAAATGAAATGGGCTAAAATTAATGAAATTCCTATCTAACATTTAGTTAGCTGTACTTCGATACTGCATTACTGAAATGAAAACCTGGTTGCTTCTGCAGTAGGAAAAGAGCCTTTGTGAAGAAAAATGATTATTATATAAGTTAGCAGCTTTTAAAATGATATGTCCCTTAAAAATCAAGGGATTGGTGGAGGAATGTAAAAACAGGTAAATTGGTAATGTAGTATTTCTTTAATCATCTGCTAAATCTTGCCCGTTGGTGGGGCTTACCCACTTCTTGATTATTAATTAGCCACATAGTCGCAAACTCCACTGCGGGAAGGAGAGCTTTATATGATGGATGAAATACCTGTGAAATGCTTTATTGATTTCTTGCATTATCATATGAGTTGGGGACCTAAATCTAGCCAAGCACAAAATCACTACCCAGAATGTTAAAGATCTAGGGAAACTTCAAGCTGTAATTTCTTTTGGTTGCCCTATTTAGTAAGGTTGCCAGAACTTGGAGCCTTAGAAACAGTTTA